ACGCACACCCACACACCCACACCCACACCCACACCCACACCCACACCACACTCACCCACACCCACACTCACACCCACCCACACTCACACCCACGCCCTTCCTATACTTTGTGCTACTTGAACTTTTTATTATAAATATGAATTTTTTGTTGCTCGTAATCTATCATCTGATGCTCTTTACCTTGAGTGCATTATTGTTGCTATGCACACTCCTTCCCAATAGAGTGGGTAGTTAAAAAGAATTGAAAAAGCAAAAACAGAAAAAGAAGAAAGAAAAAGCGACGAAAATGGAGAGCAAAATATTGTCGTGATTGAATGAGTGAGAGCGAGTCACTCGACAAACAACATACCTGTCTAACATACACACCATTCGACGAGGTTGGAAGATACCATCACTGAAATTTATTCGGTGAAGTTGGTTTTAATTACTTTATTTTGATCACTAGCTTGTTAGAATAATTTCTTAAACTAGAAAGACTGTTTGAAATGTTTTAAGCATACCTAATACTTAGGACAATCCAAAAGTTCTGTCGTCGTTATCTTTTTTTCTTATAGAAAACTTGAAAAAATTTTCTTCTTTTATGAACAGATAGAGCGTCTTTCGTTCTATGTTTCTATGCTATTTGATCATTATTCAACTAATATCATAATAATAAAATTTTGATAAGAACTATTTTTATTGAAAATTAGCTGGTGGCATTAGATCTTAACGAGTCGGGCACTTTTGCATTTCACTTTATTATCACTTAATACGTTGTATTAAAAAGCAAAATATACCACAAGATGCATCGTGAAAAGCTCTACAATTTACATAAGATCGCTTATTTTATAGTTGCACTTTTTGTTTTCAAAATGGACAAAACTCTGAGCGTGCAAATTTCGACGCTCCGCAAACGAAATTTTTTTTTTGGTAAAAAAACGACTTCGTTTTTTCTTATCTCATCTTTTTATTACCTAATATGTTTTATTAAAAAAACAAAATACACTACAAGATGCAGCGTGAAAAGCTCTATAACTTACAAAGAACAATTATAAAAAGATGAGATAGGAAAAAACGAAGTCGTCTTTTACCAAAAAAAAAATTTCGTTTGCAGAGCGTCGAAATTTGCACGCTCCGAGTTTTGTCCATTTTGAAAACAAAAAGTGCAACTATAAAATAAGCGATCTTATGTAAATTGTAGAGCTTTTCACGATGCATCTTGTGGTATATTTTGCTTTTTAATGCAACGTATTAAGTGATGATAAAATGAAATACAAAAGTGCCCCATTTTTTATGCCACACCCGTTATGATCTAATATACCACCGGCTAGCTTTCAACAAAAACGGTTCCTATCGAAATTTTATTATTATGATATTAGTTGAATAATGATCAAATAGCATAGAAAAATAGAACGAAAGACGTTCTATCTGTTCATAAAAAAAGAAATTTTTTTAAGCTTTCTATAAGAAAATAAGATAATGACGCCAGAACTTTTGGATAACCCTAAGTACATGATCGGAATCCTGATTAGAAAGAATTGAGAGAGATATGAAACCGAGCCCCCACAACGGACATGCGTTCACCCATTCGATTGATATTTGTGTGTCAGTCAGCGACCAAGTGAGTTTACTTTATTGTATCCATCGTACTGAAGTTTTACGCCTTTAAGGGTTTTTAGTCTACTATGTTGTCTCATTCTACATGATTAGCTAACGTTTTTTCAGCATCTTCTGCTATTCCAGAGAATTGAATCGAGTTATCAGTACATAGGGATTGTAAGTTCCATACAAAGTAGGTAAAAACAACGCTTAGTAATACTGCTTGCATAAGGCTGGAGGTAAGGACGATCAGCTTTTGGACTCACAGTTATGCTTCAAGTAAAGGAAGTGAAGCTTTAGAGCTACCTCAGAGATAGTAAGATGACAGAGAGAAATATCGACCCATGCGTCGCTGCATAAGGATGAGAGAGAATACTTTCGTGCCACACATAATTGCGCCAAGGCGCGGAAAAATAAGGGTGTGGGTGTGAGATATGAATGAGTGTGGATGTGGGTGTGAGAGAAGAGGAATCGTACACTCACATTTCACATCCGCGCTCGTACCCACACCCACACCCTCACCAAAACCAGTTTTTTCGACAGTACTGTTTACGCGGGCAGGCTTTTCTTCATAATTACTCGATACAGAAGCGATAGGTTTTTTTACTGTATAGTAGACGAGTGGGGCTAGGTCGTGACAGAGCCGGATTTTTGAATTTCTCTTTCGCTGAAATAAAAACTGTAGATCTTTCATTTTGATCAGTGAGTATTTTTATCACGAATTCAAGAATTTTTGAAAAAAGGATTTTGGAAAAACAAAAGAAAAGTTGAGAAATCGGGCTCTGTCATGACCTACCCCTAGGGACACTCTACAACCTAGACGCCACCTCAGCCTATTAGCTCTCAGGACTCACGATGAAAATCCCGCCCGCATACAGAGTACTTTTTGCCACTAAATTGACTGTAACTCATTAGTATACTGTGGTTTGAAGGAGATATTTCACCCATAGCCTATCCTAGCCTAGATTCATAGTCTCTGAATTATTTGGTTGAAATGGGACAAAAAATAACAAAGTTGATTTCTGAGGGGGGGAGGGCCTTAAACCTCATTTCGATATCAATCATTACTACTATGGAAGTTCACCGTATGACCCCTAGCACGGTTTTTTGAAGGGTCTTGGAAATGTTCATCGCTCTATCAGTGGCTAAATTAGTATGTTGGTGTATTGCATCATAACAGATCCGTTCTTTTCAGATTAAGCTTCCTGCGTCTTAATGACAGCTCAAACGACAGATGCTGCCGCATTTCAACCAAGACGTAAGTTGGCGCTTGTAATTGGCATTGGTAACTATGATCATTGTGAGAAACTACAAAATCCAGAAAATGATGCGAATGATATGTCATTTATTCTGAAGGGCATTGATTTTATTGTTACAAAGAGACTCCATTTAAAACGTGCTGAGATGAAACATGCTGTTATTGATTTCGAAGAATCAATAGAACAAGGCGATATGATCCTATTTTATTTTGCTGGACATGGTGTACAATGGGAAGTATGTATTAAGATTTTACCATTAAAAGTTATGGCAATCTTTTATGAGTGCTTTATTTGTGGTAATTTCAGGATCAAAATTATTTGATAGCGGCGGATACACCACTTTTGGATGGTGCAGCTTTAAACAAGAGTGCAATTAATGCACAAAATATTCTTGACACTTTAAGTGATCGCAATCCATACGTAAT